TAGTATTGATCCTAACAATCAAATCTGTGGAGGTTTTAAATATTTCATCTTCGGTTTTTTGAGAAAAGTGTTTTGAAGTACACTTAGCCGTTTAGGAAGGCGTATACACAACTGTTACGTATCGAAGCAAATTCTGCTGAAAATGATTCAAAAGAGACTGCACATTGTAGTCGAAATACGTATCTGTCATGGATACCAAAATTAATTAAGAGGAATTAAATGGAAGATAACCTTTTTTGCTGTTTTAGATTAATGTAGTCAAACAAAATACTATATTTCAGTCGCATTTGCGGCAGTCACCCCATTTGAAGCATTATTGGCAACATTCTTGACCTTTTTCGATTGCGACCCAATTTTAGGAATTGTATAAGCTTGCGACCCACCAATATTAGATGGAGATGTTATTAGGCGAAAATGATGTATGCCGTGATATTTTACGGCTTGAAACGCCAAAACACCCCAAACATGCATAACAAGATAAGATGGTTAGAATCGACAAATTTATGGTAAATCGGTAAAACCGTTCAAACATTATCTGAAGACTCTGAAAGAGCTATCTAATCGCATGAGTAGCATAAAAAACTAGTATTAAAACTACAGTCAACTCTCCACAACTCGATGTCCACTAACTCGATGTCCACTAACTTGATTTTGAGTTATAGAACCATAGTAAACATTAATTTCATGGCTGCTGTAACAGCGATGTTGTATGGAATTGTTATTCTATAATTCGATGGTCCCTTGAATATTGAGCTAAAGAAAGTTTAGTAAACCACCTCATAACGATGTTAAAAAACCTAGTCAAGACCTACGCCAGAATGATTATAAAAAAGCCAAAAAATAAAAGTTTTAAAGCGCGAAAAGGGTATCAAAAAACTACAATGGCTTTAAAACGTCAAAACACCAAAAGGCCTCACAATTGCTAAACAAGATTAAAACGACCTAGAATTGCATCATCAACGTCTTTTGGTCTATTGGTCTACAAATCTTATCAACAGTCTAAAAACTGACAACTCCTATAATAATCATGACACGTTAAAATGGTCCTAAAATACCCAAAAATGGTCCAAATAAGTCAATATAGCCTAGACTTTCCAAACTGGCTGTATAATGCCAAAATGGCTTTTAAATTGATTGCCCCTGCATAATTTTAAAATCAGATTTATTCTACATGCAAGTTAAAAAAAACTTATGATCAACAATCTGAATTTTTGCGAACTACCTGAGGGTAGCCTGTATCTACTGATGGGTCGCGACTCATCGATTGAGAAACGCTGCTCTAATGCTTTTGGCAATAAAGTGATCCTTAATTTGGTCAGCAGGTTCGGAGAGATTCTGAAGTTTCCGGTTTTTACTACATGTTTGACGTTTCCCAGGAGAAAACTGCGTCAGACATGATTTGCACATTTCTACACAGCCGCACAATTCGACAGTCAAAATGGTGTGAACTTCTTGTTAACATCTTTCTTCTGGATATTTGTGCACCTCGATCTGATTGTTTATACCGGTAAACGGCAATCAACTCAAAAAAAAAAAAAAAAATGGATGAATGGACGGTTTGTTTTCCCACTTTTATGTTTCCCTCCTGCTCGCACTCGTTCGCTTTAAATGGTACAGTAGTGTGCACCGATTAAACGTCAAAAAGCTCTATAAGGATGAGAAGAGTACCTAAAGAGTCAAAACAAACATGGAAGGCAACAGCGAAGGGAGAAAAAATGTTAGTGGAGTTAGGTTTTCCAAACAAAATCATCGAAATTTATAACCGTGAGTATGTGAGTATTGTTTGTGGGAAATTATATGTTTAAATGAAGGGATTACTATACACACTTAGAAATAACTTATTTTACACGTGACGGAATCCGTCTTTAACATAAAGTGAACCCTACACGATTGCTTTTATTGACAATAATCGTATTGTCAATACATTCTATATTGACGTCAATACATCGAGATTGACAATATTTCTGAATTCACATTATCAATATTATTGTCAATAATTCCCCTTCGCTTCAATATATTGATGCGTGTGGGGTTTGCTTAAAAGAAGAGAAGTAAACAAACATGTCATGTGATGTTTAGTGCTCCGAGACTGAAAAGTTTGTTGCTCGACGAAAAGTACGTTTGATTGAGCTATATTTCGCGTCTGTTATGGCTCAAATTTATGTCAAAATAGACGTTCGCATGTCACTCTCAGAGCACCAAAATTTACATTATTTTTTTTTTTCTAAGAGTGCAGTTTAAATTTGACTGAACAGAGTACTGAGTTCTGGAGGTCTAAACTGGAGTTGCTTTGAATTTTTGAAAGTGGATAGGATTGATCATATGATTTTAATTCTAGAACGAAAATGAATTCTTTTAGACATCCGATTCTTTTTCTTTTGTACGTGTGTATACGTTTACTACAACTATGTATACAGAAAAAAAAGTATAACCTTATTCACGAAGACAGCGATATTTGATTTGATAGGTTAAGCTATCTACTGATTAATCAACTGTACCCACAATATGAAAATATAAATTAGTGTATCTAAAATGAATAATATCGGGTTTATCATTTTCACACCTCCCGTTCACCCGTTCAATAATTATATTTTAAGTAGACCGTAGTAATGATTTGACTTTCAAAGGTATTGGATAATATCTTTTTATGTTTGTACGATACTATTTGTATGTAGTATGCATGACTACGATTTGCTCAAATGAAATTCCGTTATCTTTTTCACAGCAACAAATAAAATCTAAATACAATAGTTATACTATAAGATTGCTACAAGGTCTTTCATCAAATTCATGTGCATCACGCATAAATTTAGCATGTATGGTTTAACATATTCATTTGCAAAACATTTCATGATTATAAATCAAGCACATGACTTTGACGTTTAATCACATGAAATTCATGTGAGCTGTAAGTGAATGAAGCATGGGTAAGGTATGGCTGATTTCATAAGTTATACATTTGAAATTAATGTGTTTGAAATATTGCACCAATTCAAATGCGAAACACATGAACGGTGCGTGTAGATTTTTTGAAGTGTGTAACATGCGTGAGCCGTAATCATGGTATTTTTTTAGGTGGCAAACTCTCATTTCTTACGCCTTCCACCCTGCTCATGCCGTTGATCACATTTCATAAGAGAAGCGCAAAAGAGAAAGATATGTATATCGCAACAAATTCTCTCTATCATACATCTTTTCTAAGACATGGAGTGGAAGTTGTTCCATCAACGACCTGATGAAATAGCTTATAGAAGTTACATTCAAATTCAAATCCCGGTTCAGAAATTATTCCTTGATTTCGTTGAACTTCAATGAATTTCTTTAAACTTTCCTGATGATCTTAGAACTTCTTTGAAGTTCGCAGAACGTCTCTGAGTTTGTCATTTTTTATCTGGATTTCTCAAATATTTCCTAATGTTTGTAATTTTTCCCTGTGGTTCACAGATCATCCTAAAGTTTGCAAAAATTTCTTGGCGTTTAAAGAAGTTTTTGCCAAGCATCATTAAAATTCATATAATGTTGCTATAGTTTACAAAACTCTCTTATCTTCGTAGAACTTACCAGGAGGACATTAAACTTGCCTGAAGCTCACAAACTTTCCTAAAATTCGCCACAGTTCCCTATAGTTCGCGGAATTTCCTAGAAAGTCGCTGAACCTTCCTGAAAGTTTCCTTAGACAAAATATGGGAACTGCAAGAAGCTCTAGCAATTCTTTAGTAATTCAAGATGAGGGCTACCTAAACTTACTGGGCAAGAGTTTCTAATCTCATGTGGGTTTCATTCCTGTATTATGGCCATTATCGGTTAAACGATTTTCAAACAAATTTGTCATGGTGGCCAGAATTTATTTTCGATCTCACCGTTGAGTCAAACATCTTTATTTATTTTTAAAAATCCAAGCAAATTTACCACCTCTCATAATTGCAAACGCCACCTTCGCCACCTATTGAGTACGGGACACAACAATTTCGGATATTTGCTATCTCCTGGATTAATTCAATCAACTTTTGAGCCTTGCTTGACTGAATTTATTCAATTCGTAATAGTTTGGTATCGTCAATAGTTCATATACGCCTTCATAATCAGCGTTTTAAATTTCAAAACACTCTTTCTCAAAAAACCCAAGATGAAATATTTCAAAACCATCACAGATTTGCTTGTTAGGTTCAATACTAACGCCTTGTGAAGAAAACACTGAGCTACATGAATGTTGCAAAAAAGTGCCTTCAGACATAGCGTGTGCTATTACTGACCCCTTGTTTGAAATCAACTATGAAAAAGTAATGCGATATTCGCTTTTGATACAATTAAATCACACATGTTAGCGTAAAAAACAACCAATGATACTGATATTTGACCATGCAGCAGAACCCTAGCCCAAACCTTTTCTTGTTTCGAATTACAAAACCGAGACTCATAACCATCAACAAGGAGAAATTAGGAAAGGTGGCGTATATTTGCTCAATTGCATCATGTACATAACTGATGTATATTATAAATTTCGAACAGTGTCGTACTTGCCATTTTTTGCAACACTCCAGATATATAGATTGAATAAATCTTGGCTGCTGGTTGATTGGATTTCTCATCATAATTTTGGGATTTATTAGCAGAGTATTTATGAAGTCTGAACAATTTTAGTAAAACGCGTATTTTTTAGTAATCTTTTAAAATCCGTTTATAATTGCTGTACAATTAACCAAGAAGTTTGATTACTTTCATTTGCGAGTGGTGCGCATGCTTTCTGAATTACTACTATTTTCAATAAATTGGGAGCTGTGCCAATTATCTACAACATTTTAATTGAAATATTAACAACTGTGCTACTCATTGTCCAAATAATTCACATTGAATTGAAACGTTTCTATGATAAAGTAGCAAACAAATCTACCGAACACGCTTTATACTGAAGGCTGGTACTATAAATATGATCGACGTAGCACCGTAAGTAATTTCCATAATTCTATCACACAACCTGAAATGTCTCCCTCCGGACTCACCTCATGAGATAGTTGATCGTACCGTTGCGGTAGATCCGCAGGGCAAAGTGCATCGGTATCAGCGGATCCTTGAAGTCTCCGTGCATGATGAAGTACGTATCCGGTATCCAGATATCCTCGTGGTGATGGATTGCGTTTAAATATTCATACGATGATTGATTTGCATACCGTAACCGCGGGTCGTACCATTGTTGTTGGAGTAAAAATTCAACTTCGTATTTCTGTGTTTTCGGATTGTTTTGATTTTGTGAAAAGAACGAGAAGAGAAAATAAAAACATAGGTGATTAAAAGGAGACAACCATTTGCAACTATGTTGGGCATTGTCCTGATGGCACTCCTGCATTTGTACAGGCATGATAACAATAACAGCAATTACTAGTTGGCAGGAGGTGTGGATAGAATGTGAATGTTTAGTGATGGAATTCATGTGGTAATGGAAAAGATGAATCGATGGCTATTGTTGGGAATAATGGCGTTGATCAGCATCCACCAGAACGTGATGGATCGTGTAATGTTTTGATTTATGTATCTGAAAATACACCAGATGTGGCCGCAAATTTGCTAGGGTTAGAGTAGTTTAAGCAGATATAGGAATTACATATTAGATTTTACCACTTCATCTTGCCAAAAGAACCATGATCACGCTTACCACTACACCATCGACGCTGCTCCCCTCAAGCTATGACAATTCGTTTATTTTTCCACAGCACGTTTCTTCATTTCTTGTTATCATAAACGTGAGTCAACTGCAATATGGAGAAGAGGATGTAAATCTCATCACGGCCATTTGCAAAACAAGTTAATCCTCTAGTACATTTGAATCCAGTATCACAAAACAAAGCATTTCAAAGGTGGTAACAGGCCTGTCTACCGGACGTCTCCTGTTTCAGCGCGTGGAATAAATTTCTGCTGTTTCATGATTCCAGATCCCAGGAGCAAAGCGGATTGTTGGAAGATTCATCTTTACTTTAAGGATTAAGTTCTCGTCGTAAAACGTTGTGTCTGAGCAGGAATTATGCGTGGCTTGGTTTCAAAACTGGATTTTGCTAAAGCATGCTGATCCGGTTTTCTTTTCTGATTAAATCGTTAAAAAGACGCTGATGAATGCCATGGTAGTCATACAGTTACAACAATTCCATTATCAATGAAATCACATTAGAAGCAACGAAATCACCACCGTAAGCCATCTCTGTTCTCCAGCAGCGGTAAAAGTTTGCTCGTTACATAGAAATCTATCCAACACTCCACAACTTATTCTAAAGTTTCTCGTCACTTATAGACAGCCTTTTAGCCCTGCTTTGACCTTAATTAGGGTGTCAAGTTAAAGCCAATTAGGAAGGTTTGTTGGGTATCCATGATCTCTCGTTTCTTGTTGGAATATTTTTATTTTCTATTATCTCGGTGATATCGTTCCAAACCCTTGCAGCAAAGGATTGATTAAAAAAAAAACTTTTACCGAGTAAAAAAATACTACCTTTAGAAATATATCCAACAGTTCTAGGTGATTCAAGATTTATTTTACCTATCAAAATTTCAAAAATGCTTGAAAATTAAACATTTGTGGTGTTTGGGAAATTCATCACCACATGTCGGTTCGGGAAAATGTCAACTAATTGGTTTTTGAATATTTTTCATAAAACCCCTAGTGTACATATAGGCGGTCACACTTAAAAATTTTCGCCGAGATTCCAACAGCCGAGCAGTTCTGCAATTTATTTAGCTGAGATTCAGTAAAACAATTGCCGAGACTCAGCTAACAAATAACTATTTGCTGAGATATCAGCTAACAAACAGATATTTTGCAGAGATATCAGCAAAAGTAAATGCCGAGGTATTCGGCTGTTGGAGATTTTACCGAGCTAGATTAAGTGTGTAAGCGTCGATATGATGGGTACATAATCATTCTTTATAAGAATCATAATCCTTTGCTGTGCACCTCATATATTGTCTTTCATTTCGACGGAAAAATAGAAGGCGTACGGTAAGATAATCCCATGCTTCGTCCCTCCCTACATTCCTGGGGTTTCAAATTGGCTCACTTAGATGAAACAACGGTGTACTGTTGGTGGTAAACCTTTTATTACATTTCTTACAACTGAGAAAGGTCTGATACATTTTGCAAAAAGTGGATAAAGCTTAAGTTGAGCCGAAATTGGTAAATCTATGTTTGATTAAATTATTCAAAGGATTATAAAAACTATCACAATTAGGATTGTGATAATAGCAAGAAGAGTTGGTTGTCTCTGACGAAGGATTGGTTCTTCATTTTTATTAGTAACAAAGGGAATAGAAGGAACATTTCAATGCTGGGAGCCTTTCTTTGCGTCCAACAGGAGTTGAGTTGTTTGGGTTCACATTTTATACACACTGTAAAACACAAAACATAAAAGTATGGAACAATGCTGTTGTGTTGTCGTGCCAAAGATAATGAAGATGGGATAAGGTTCAGGTTTACAGCTGGGAAAATGGTTAAGAATGAATGGATGTGTGCTTGTTTTCGAAACGGTGATGATTCTTTCGACAATACTTACTAGACTAGACTCATCTGGCGATGCTAAGCTTAACAACAGTACACTAACATTCACAGTCAAAGAACCTGTAACGAGAGAAGGAGACGGAGAACATTGAGGAATGCAGTTCTTATGTCAGGCACTAGGTTGCATCGCTTTCAAACTGCAGCGAGTGAACATTAATCAAGCGAATTTCAAACCAACAGCAATTTTCATTAACCATAAAACATAAAACAATTGCTATGAAAAATGTATCAACATACGATTATAGAACAATGCTCGGGGGAAACGCATTTCAATCGAAATGCAATTAAAAAGTTGGCAGCTTATCTCGTTGATTGCTAATTTGTTTATGCTCAACAATTGGTACACGGAACCGTCTGGCGTCATAGCACCTTGTCATGTTCACCTGTTAGCTGGTTTCCGGTGATGATAATTCTACTCTTTATGTATATTCGTTGCAAACCGTTTAACCTGTTGGGTGGAGAGTATCAATTTCGCTGTTATGTTCTTTTTTGGTTTGACGTGAAATAATCAGTTTTCGTTTTTATGAATTGATTTAAATTGGTATGATAATCCGTATTTTAGGAATAGCATTTAGAATTAAAAGTAGTTTCGTCACCATTCAGCATTTATTTTGGAAGATCACATATATTTGAATTTCGCGTATTTACAGTCTCAAGTAGAACTGACCGTTTGATGTTGATGATGATGATGGTCCTACCCATACAAAAGTTTGAGCTGGACGATTTATCTTTAAGATAATTAAATATAACATTTTCACCAGGCTAGCAAAACAAATCGAACTGCTTTCAGTTACAGATATAAATTCCTTCTAGAGTTTGCAGTTGCTTCACAGTGATATAAATGAGGAAAAGCTCACACGTCCACCTCTTAGTTCGCCTTTTTGTCCACCTAAAATATTCATAAGTATTACAAGTGATCAAAAGTTAATGAACAATCAACAAAGCATCCTATTACACTAGCAGCCCCGCAATCTGATGCTATCATAATTTTCAGCAATGTCAGGAAAGCTCACGAACTCCCAACATTTGCCAGAAAACTTACTACTAACTCAAGGTATCTTCCAAATAAACTTCAAAATTGCATTTTTTATCAAATGTTAAATTCAGTCCTATTCATCCGTAATACGCACGCGAGGCTCAAACCTTTGTAGACTACTATTTTTTACTACAACTATTAAATCAAACATCAAAAATCCATCATCGCCATCGTGGCGAACAAAAATAGTTTTTGCAGTGCTACAATAATTATTAAAAAGTCGTTATGACAGCTATCCATATAAAATAATCCGTTAGAGATAACTTCGTCAAGATACATAATTTGTCAATTCATAAAAAAAAAATCAGTGTTGCTGAACGTTTGATATGTCCTGGCATCGAATTGAAAGCATTTATTCCTTTATAATATTATGAATTTTGTGAAGCACAAGTCAAGAAATGTTGTGTTCTTATTTCAACCGCGTTTTTAGTATTATATCTATGAAAGTCACTTCCTCTTTCAATTCGATCACACAAATATCGAGGCAGAAAATCGCTAACTACTTTAAAAATGCTCCACCGACAAGCCTGTAGACAGACCACAGAGCATAGTGGCTCTATACTAAAAAAATATTTTTCTCTGTTTTAATAGCAATTTTCCGGAAAATAAATATTTGTCAAAAGTAAACTTCAATTCATGGTAGTAACAATACAGAAAATAAGAAATGTAGTCGCGGTGAAGAACTTCAAGGCATTGGTCAAAGGAAATTATTTTTTCGCCTCATAAAAAAGTACGAATAGATTGAAGAATTGCAGCAGTAAATTATAAAGAAGCAATAGAAATCCCATGATACAGTTACAAAAAAAAACTTGAACGTTTCGCACTGACACTTACTAAATCATCATCAAAATCAATTTCTTTTAATTGAAGTTGTAAGTACAAGATTATTGAAACACTTTCAAGCTTTGCACCTGTTAGCTCCAAACTCTCTAAATATTATAATTTTTTAAGGTGTCCGAATCCCAAGCTTTGCATAGTGAAGATTCATCTATGATAAATTATTTAGGGATCGCAGACTTTGATTTTTGCAGAAAAAATCTTTAATATTTTACAATTGGACCTGGGGGAGTTTTCCCGTTAATTAGACATACATAAATAGTCAAGGCGTCAGATTATGAACAACAAGTCCTAGGAAATACATTTTGAAACACAGTAGAATATTCTGGAAGTCCGTAACAATCCACGGGAATTTCGAGAAGGCCTTATAGTGAATAATAAGATGCATTTTAAGATACTTCTGAAGAGAACTCAATGAGAATTGTGAGAAGAGATCCTAGTTAATTTTATCGAAAATTTCTACGGGATTCTATAGAGAATTATTTTTTGCCTTTCCTCTGTATATATCCATGTCGTTGAAAGTGGTAAACTTGTATCAGTATGAATAAGAGCACAATTGCATTAAAGAATTTAACTTCCATTAGCAGCAAATTCCAAGGAAGGAAAAACAAAATCTAAGAAAATCTTAATTCCAAGGGATAATAATTTCGAGGATGGTTAAAAATGAGATTGATTCTAGGAGAATTGAAAAGCATGGATTTTTTTTTAGGATTTCTGAATAGGTGATAATCTTTGAGAGTATTCATAGAGAGTTCTATGAAAAATAAAAGGGTTATTTTGGAAACAATTCATAGAGTGTTCTAAGAATGCCCTCTTAGAGATTCGGAGGAAAATTCCAAGGAATTATGAGAGGATAAATTCGGATTTTTGTTGAAATCATGTCTAAAGAAAATTTCAGAGAAAATTGGCATAATACGGAATATTTAATATTGAATTCCAAAGAGAATTTTACAGAAAACATTCAGAGCAAACATCAAACACAGTTTGAAAGTGAATTTCAAAAGAACTTCTTAAGAGTGTTTCCTCCGAGTAACAAATCCAGAGCAATAGATTTTATTTTGAATTTTATAAAGGTTTTATTGCAGCAACAACAATATCCATGGCTTTATGACGGTCATACACATTGTCATAAAAATTAAGTCATATAAAATACTGTAAGCTATCTACATAACCATAATAATATAAATCATATAATAAAACTAACTTATGCTGATGCTATTAAGACTTATGAAAGGCTTTATAGTGTCTGATAAATCCAATGTGAACTGCTCTCATTAAACTCAACAATTAATCCCAATGTTGATTTATAAGCAGCCGCAATAAAGTTGTCAATGAAACATCAATTTTAAAACACTGATAAGTACTCAATTCCAACTTGTCAACATTGTAAAAAATCAGTGCCACTGAAAACTTTCTCCACCATGGTTTCACGAAAAATCAAAAGATTTTCATCAACATTGAAAACCAGCCAGGAAACAAGTTCTCCTGTGTTTCTGCGGATGTCACGGAGGCAGCTCTAGAGAATCTATCACTCCACCGTTTCAAACCATCATTCATAAGCTAGAGCTGCCTTTGCAATGCTGGCCTGACTACACATTTAAACAGTCCTTTTTCGAATTTGCATTGAAGGAGCTAGCGGACGTCTTTTCTTATTTTTATTTTTCTCTGGCGCAGGGCTAGTCTGCTAGACTGCCCCGTGAATATAATTGAAAATGCCATCCGAGAACATTATTGCAAAGTATTAGTTTTATATTAGGTTTGAAACGATAATGTCTCGACCAAGTAGATTGATTGCTGGCATGATGAAGATACATTAGATTTACTATCGAAAACAACATTGCTTTCCGTAATTACTACCAACAACTCAATAGTCATGATCGCTCCTATCATCTTAATATGCTCCATAAACTTTAATGCCTATATGCATTAGAACTAAAAATGCTGGGGTCGGACGGAAGTAGGCTGTGCCGGCGAACGGACGCGTTCGTTTTTGCTGTCAAGATGTTTTCTCGTGATTCCCCGTTCTGAAGTGCATTTAATGAAGAACAATCCCCAGTTTAGTTTTCGAGAAGTAGTAACGGAACCAACGGTTATGGCTCAGGTAAGGCCGGTACTTTTCCGAGACCTCTTCCATCCCGACAATTTGTGACGTTGCGAACAATTTCGGCCTGAGAACCCTTTCACATCGGGAAGCAGCCGACCAACGGAAACATGGATACCATCTCGAGAGCGGCAGAAGAACCCAGTTTACGGACAGTCAACTAAATTGGTGAGTTCGTTCCAGTTTAATATTTTTTTTGCCATATACTTAGGTAGGGTAGGATGGTCTAGGACGCGCCCTGGGGTGAATTCTGCCACGTGGAATCCCGGAACTGGTAGTGAGAGTGCGGCGAGGAGCCACGTGGGGCCGTTTTGGTCTCGCCTATGTATTTATAAACATTACTTACATTGGCTTTCCTTCGAGTACGGGCAAGGTAATCGACGAGCAAAGACCTATCTCTAAATGTTTTAATGTTTGCAAATTTACAGAATTTTTAGTTTCATGTTTCGCGATCGCGAAGCAAAATGGGTATCGTCCAGTAAAAGTTCGAATGGTGTTGGAATATTGGTTCTTCGAAATGGCAAAGAGTATTATTTTCTCGCTTTCCAAGCGGCAGTACAGGCAAAGGTGTTATATCCTAGACAAAAAGTGAGATCCAAAATCACTGTTGTCGTCATCGCCGTCGTCTTCGTGATAGTGTAGGTTTTTTTTCCTTGATTGCGTCGATCTTGTTTTCCGTGCTGAGCACCAATGCTACCGACGCCAGAGAGGCAGCTACCACGCCTGGATCCTACCTATCGATCCATCAACTCATGAACCGGGGACCAACGGCTTTACTTCCCTTCCGAAGGAAGGCGTGATCAGAGATGTTATGCCTCAGAACATCCCGGCGGCGCCGACTGGGATTGAACCCAGGCCTTCTGGGGTGAGAGGTAATCACGCTTACCACTACACCACCGGCGCCGCTGATAGTGTTGGTTGAACCATACGTATATTTCAAATAATCAACCGTTATTTCTATATCCGTTTATTCAAAAACGATCGTCGTTCATAGTGATTTTACTCTGCTTACTGAGCAGAAAATCATGGGTTCAATCCCAGACATCTTTACAATAAAGAGTTGATAATATTGGTTCGTTTTCTCAT